TGTTTTAATTGTTTTCAATCCGAATGGCATAGGCTTTTCCAGTTTTGAGCCACTGAAGTTGGAATCTTGATGTCAATCGATTTTTGCAGCTTTAATCAATATGTGGAAAAGTAGCGCGTATATTTTCCAATAACTGTATATATTGTTGCATAAAACAGATAAAATAGGTGCAATTTGCTCTAACAAACCCCTATAAAGGGATATAACTAATAGCTTTACTCTTTTATACCTATATTGGTGATAGTAGTGAGATACTTTAATGAAACTCGAAGTTCATCTTTTCTGTTAATAATATATGGTTATGCCCAAAATAAATAAAATCGATTCAATTTACCCCATTCCCATATATGTACCTAATATAAGATTTTCAAACTTCTGGTTGGTTTTATACTGTAAATATTGGTTAATATGCAAGATATCATAACAAAATTAACTGATATTATTATATGATAGTTAAAATTACCGTTATTTACAATTATTACGTTTTGTAAATCCTCTTAAATATTTGTATTTTCCATTGGCTAAATGAACTATAAGCCTTCCAGCGAAACATCCCTGTACACGCACCACACACCACTTCACAAGCAACGCTGATACATTCCAACACACACAACAATACCATCCACTCCCGAAAACACCACACAATTACATACAACTCACACAACTCACCGAGGGATACCAAAACACCACACCACCAACACACCCACGATCTCATCACTTTACCCAACCAAACAAAGGGATCGACGACTGGTACGGGCCCTTTTTCGATCGATCGCCGTCGCACTGCATCAGCCGAGTCCTTTTCGCGCCACCCGGAAATCTACACCGTTTTTCACAAACGCCTTTTTAAGGTTTAAATTGAAATATTCTTTATTTTATTTTTATTGAATGTTTCACAAGTTTGGTGTGTTGTATTAGGGTGTGACATTATTTACCCTGAAGAAGCGGTGTAGTTGAAAGGGAAGTTTATAGTCATTTAAACACTATTACTAGCAAAACTAGTGTCCATCGTACAAACATTTAAACATGGCACAATATAAACTATATCTATGGTCCGATTCCGAAATTGTATTAGCATAGTTAGAAAAACTACCACATGCATGGAGACGTATATTTCCAATCGAACGTCGCAAATCCTTGACCTAGTAGGATCAGTCACTTGGCGACATGTAGCCAGTGCTGATAATCCTGCTGATCTAGGTACAAGAGGGTGCAAAACCCTGCATCTTACCACCACCTCCTTCTGGTGGAATGGCCCCTGCTGGTTAACAGAATCTCCCGATTCTTGGCCACAAGCGCCCACGTGCAATATAATTGCCCCAGAAAGTCGAAAAATCGACTCTTTTCATGCAACATCGGATGATACTGACATCCTTGAGCGATTCTCATCGTTTCCCTGAGCCCTCAGAGTAGTTTCCTATATGATCAAATTTATAGAGCAGCTCAAATCTAAAGTTAACGGAACACCTTCAATATACCCCCAATGCGATACATTAACGCACCTACATTTACAAAAGGCAAAAGGCGCTCTTATCGCATCTACTCAAGCGCGCTACTTCAGCCGAGAAATATCTTTGCTAAAATATTCAAAACCGATGGATAAAAAGAGCTCACTTTTAGTACTAAATCCATTTCGGGACACAAAGGGGCTGCTTCGTGCGAATGGTCGGCTTGTCAACTCCATCCTGACATACAACGAACGACATCCCATAATCATACCAGAGAAAGCACGGCTTGCCACATTATATCTGCATTATGTCCACATACTGATGCTACACGCCGAGCACCGCCTCATGCAACAAATAGTTTTATATTCCCCGTCTTAAGCCTCAAATAAAGAAGTGCATTTACATGTGCAAAGTTTGCACAACGTACAAGCAAAAAAGGCGAACGCAGATAATAGCAGCACTTCCACCTGAACGCTGCAACTTTGCTCTGCCCTTCACAGCAACAGGTGTCGATTTTGCTGGGCCTTTCCAGATAAAGGCTTCAATGTTAAGATCTCCCACTTTAATGAAAGGCTATGTGGCAGTTTTTTACGACAAAAGCTCGTGGCATTCGCTCGCTTCGTCGGACGCCGTGGTTTTCCCCCAAAAATAATGAGTGACAACGGCAGAACGTTTATTGGAGCCAAAAGAGCCACTGAGAAATAGTTCGTGGACTTTATCAAACAAGTCTCACCTGAGATTGTACAGAAGTACGCACCCCAAGGCATTAATTGGCAGTTTATCCCCCCAAGCGCTTCTCATATGGGTGGTTTATGGGAATCAGCTGTAAAAAGCTTCAAATCCCACTTAAAAAAGGTAGCTGGAAATTACAAATTCAATTATGAAGAATTCACTACATTATAAATTGAAATTGAAGTCGTTCTCAATTCACGGCCTCTTACCACCCTCTCGCAAGATCCCTCAGATTTCACAGCCTTAACTCCAGGGCACTTTCTCAAAGGAACACGCATTCTGGCCATACCTGAGCCAGGCGTGGAGTCGCTATCCTTATTAAATCGCTGGGAAAGAATTAAAATTATCCATCACGATTTCAGCCGCCGATGGAAAGAAGAGTACATAAAGGATCTCCATAAAAGATATCGTTGGAAGACTCCTGAACAAGCGCCAAAGCTTGATATTGTGTCATTATTCATGATAATTGTCTACCCCCTACCGAATGGCGGCTTGGTCGCATAGAAAAGCTACATTACGGCTCCGACGGTCATGTAAGAGTAGGAACGCTAACCAGACCGCTCGTGAAACTGTGCTTTCTATCAACCGCAGATATAAACGATATAATATAACATCACGTTTTTCATAACCGTTTCAATAAATCGAAAAAAACGAAAAGACAATAACTCGTAAACTCGACAACAATCCGTATATATAAGAACTAACGAGTCGATCAATATGACGACCCCTTCATGCTACCAAGAGTTGTAGAATGCCTATTTCAACCTATATCTTACAACTTTATAAAGCCCAATAATCTTTTCTACCCAGATAACTATGAACTGGGGTTACTCCAGCGCCCCGAGCAGCCGCTCCTACAGCCGCTCATCGAAGTGGAGCCCGACCATCAGCAACACCAAACATGGAACCGCAGCGCGTCCGGTACATCATTTGCCGCCGCCCTCACCGACTACAACACTGCAACATTTTTAGGGGCATGCAACCGATACAACGCCGGCAGATTACCCAGGCTCATGGCATTGTCTCAAATATGCGGCAGGCTGCATCATACGTTGTTCCATCGCAACCCGAGACGTGACATCGGTCGCCTGCCTGCCCCGCGCAGCCGCCCTCTAATTAGACAACCACCATCGACTCGGGCGATACCGCACCGACGATCAGCAGACCCTCCTGTGTCATGATTAAGGAGTCACCGAAACGAAGCACCGATGATGCGCCGGCACTCTAGGCCGCAATACCGCCGCTCTACGGGACTGAGCAACTTTGTAGCAACGCTACAACAGCTGCAACGACTCCTAGGTTAAACCGGGATGGCTAAACATCATAAACATCCCTGTACACGCACCACACACCACTTCACAAGCAACGCTGATACATTCCAACAAATCACAACAATACCATCCACTCCCGAAAACACCACACACCATTACATACAACTTCACACAACTCACCGAGGGATACCAATAAACACCACACCACCAACACACCCACGATCTCATCACTCTACCCAACCAACAAAAGGGATCGACGACTGGATACGGGCCCTTTTTTCGATCGATCGCCGTCGCTACTGCATCAGCCGAGTCCTTTTCCGCGCCACCCCGGAAATCTACACCGTTTTTAAACTTATTCAAAGTAACATTTAATTGTGGAAAACGATTGAGTTAAATAAATTCATTACAGTTGAAACCCAAACAGGTGTGTAAGTGAAAGTGGTGAGTGGGTTTTTAGTGCAAATTAGCATCAGATTAACTACCATAAACTCAAAAATTATGAAATTTTGGGTTTTATTCTTATGTTTTCATCTAAAGACATTAAGATAAATTAAATCGTAACAATAATATAAATTAATTTCTTAACTTGTTCAATAGATTCTGTTTCGAACGTCAAACCAATAATATCGGAATTCATGGCACCTACTTCATTTTTTTATCGGTTTCAATTCTAATTCCGATGATTTTTGTTATTGGAAGAAGCCATATGCCGAATATTTCGGTCAGTGTATGAGTTATATATTTATAAAATGCCTTGAAAATATGTTCTCGAGTACAACTGAACAATGCCAAAAGTTAGTGCAATCTGCCAATAAAATTAAATGAACAAGTTTTATTAAAAATTATGTGGTTTAGCGCTAGTTATGAATGAAAGGTCTCGAAATTGTCCCAACCTCATATCCCTAATATAATGAATACCGATCATCTGGTTGAATTTATATCAAAAAAATTTCAGTTGAGAAAGATTTTGATATAACTTTCTCTGACGGGAAGTAAAATATAGTAATAAAACTAATTGAGTCTATAACCTTTAATATAAGTCAAAAAGGCACAAATTTGATTGTATCACGATTCAATGAATGTTGTATTCTTTTTCGCAACATTTTTAAACTCTCGCAACTTGTTGGTACAGAGTATAATAGTTTTTTCACCTAACGGTTGTTTGTATTACCTAAAACTAATAGATTTAGATATAGGGTTTGTTTGTTCAGAAGTATGACACTGTGCAAAATCGGATGACCGTGACCATGAATTAGGCTATTCACCACTGTGAGAGCACCGATTATGCATATGCACACAAATTCTTACATTCATATAGGTACATATGTTATAATTTTCTATGATTTGTACTTATTTGCATTTTTTATGTTCTCACTTTTTGCTTTGCAATTTGTAAGTAGGTACATATATACATACACATGTACACATACATAATACATATTTTCATACCTACGCCCGCATAAGAATATACGCATATGCTTACATATGTAGGTAGGAAATGAGAAAATAAGCAAAAGACGAGATAAAAACCCGTGCTAGCATACGATTAAGCACATTATTAATAGAGCATTATGAGTGTTAAGAGTAAAAATTAGATTAAATGCAAAATTAAATTAAATAAAATCAAAATTGTTAATTGGACATTAATCTATTTTTGGGCTGGAACATAATTTGGCGACCGTGACAGGACTATGTGTTCTAAATTTAATATTTCGATCAAAGAAAGCCAATAGATTAATGTCTATTTTTCATTTAATTTAAATTCGTTTCGTGTAAATACTGGCAAGAGCTGGCTCTGCGTTTGTTCAACCACACGAAATTCGCCTATAGTGTATCGTCTGTAGCAGTGTAGCGGTATCCAACAGCCTGAATCAACGGATCATTTGGATTGTTGTGCCCGGGCAACATTCTGTGTAAGCTCAGATAGCAACTCTTGCCACATATCATAGTAGTATCCACTGTAAACGTACATACAGATTACACGTGGTTTTCAACATTCATTCGAGACCTTCTTTTCATCAACATCTGTCGAAGTTACCGACAGTTAGTCAACTCGTCAAAGTCACAGTGCCAGCATACGGGACTTTTTACAGTACAGTTTCATCGGATTGCAGATCTGCTTTTGCTACATCAACATCATCATATTTTTCATAGCTCAGGTACTCGTATATATTATATTTTATTTTTGCCTTCAAATGCCTAATAACAGTAAAGCCATTATGCCTAACATGGCTGATGAGGAACAATTACCTTTGTCCTCGCTAATTCAAACACGTTCAACGATTCTTCGCAACCTACATAGTATAAAACAACGAATTGCTTGTGAAGAAGTCGACAGTGATACGCATGTTCTCGAATGTCGATTACAAATTGCTGAGTCCTAATTTTAACATATTTGCGACGTTCAGAACAATATTGAAGCTCTTTCTCCGTCAGACAAATCAAGTGCAGAAGTTGAAGAAACGTACATTTCAACAAAATCTAAAATACTTTCGTTAATCAACCCCAGAAACCGCGTTTCTGAGTTGAACACTAGCATATTCAAAATTGCCAAAATTTGATGGCAAATATGCGGAATATAAACGCTTTTTCCGCACCTTTTGCAGCATGGTGCACGATGACCCAACAATGCCAAAGGTGGACAAATTTAATTATCTTATGAACTGTCTTTCAGGAGCAGCCCTTTGCGTAATCGAACCCTTTCAGGTAACCGAAGAAAATTATCCGAAGGCTATACAATGGCTCAAAGAACGATACGACAATAACGTATTGATTTTTCAAGATCACATTATATCGGTTTTCAATACTGCAGTTATGAAAAGATCTGACGCAGCAAGTCTACGTAATATCATTGACAATGTTGCAGCACTGCGAGGTTCGTTACTCTTGTTGGGCTCAGAAGGCGATATAATGATTTTAATGCTAATTCATATCGTCTTAACTAAAATTGATTCTGATTCAAAATCGGCATACAATCAAAAGCAAGAGTTTGATTACTTGCCATCATGGGACGATTGCTACAAGCGGTTAAATCGGCACTGTCAGTATTTAGAAACATGTTCAAACGGGGAAAACTCAAAGGTAACACAGCGAGATTGTAAGCTACTCGGTAAGAAAAATGCAAATTCATTCATTAACGCGATGTCAAATTGCATACATTGCAATAATGCAGAACATAGCCTTAACAATTGTCCTTCATTTCTACAGTTATCAGCTAAAATGCGTTTTGATTGGGTGAAGCAGACAAGTGCTTGCATCAATTGCCTACGCAAAGGACATACAGTATCTAAATGCCCATCGAAATCTCGTTGCCGTATATGTCATCAATCGCACCACTCTCATCTACATTTCGCCACCGTTGGAGCTACAAATTATCCATTTGTACAAAAGTTAGAACCTAAAGAGAAAAACCAAACACCTGTGCTGTTTACTTCGTCGAATCCATCGCATCATTCACACGCAAAAGAGCGATAATACCAACAGCCTTAATTTACATACAGGACAAATTTGGAGTGATGCAGCCAGCTCGTGCATTATTGGATTTATGTTCCGAATTAAATTTCATCACCGAGGAAACAGCGAATCGGTTGCAGCTTAAAAGGGTTTTCTCACATCAGGAAATATCAAATATTTCAGATATTCGTTCTAATTCAAAGTATGCAGTAAATGCGAAAATTAAATCTCGAATCGGAGATTTTACTTGTATATCGCAATTTGCTATAACTAAACAGATCACGACACAAATACCAAGTAGTTTTTTCAACACTTCTAAATGGGATATTCCTGCAAACCTTCAGCTTGCGGATCCTTACTTCTACAAACCGCAACGTATAGATTTATTGCTTAATGCAGAAATATTTTTTGAAAGCCTTCAAGAAGGGAGATTTCTCGCTCTTGAACGACGTCTATCTTACAACAAATTATTAAAAAATATGTATGCAGATTTTATAAAAGAATACATTAAACTTGGGCACATGGTTGCTATAAAAAACTTTGATTTAAATAGTTCACACTATATAATTCCACATCATTGTATACTCAGTCCACAAAGTACTACGACCATGCTTCGGGTTGTATTCGACGCCTCTGCGCGCACTACTTCTGATCGCTCATTAAATGAAATACTTATGGTCGGAGCAAGAATTCAACCAGAACTAATCATGACATTATTGTCATTTCGCTTGTATCCTTACGTATTAACCGCCGATGTATCAAAAATATATCGCCAATTTTTGATTGACGAACAAGATCAACGATATCAACTCATTTTATGGAGAAACGAGTCTTATGAGCCATTGCAGTTGTTTCAACTCAAAACTGTAACTTACGGGTTGGCTTCTGCACCATTCCTCGCTACTGATAGTTTACTTTATATTGCTGACGTCAATAAAGATGTCTTTCCACTAGCATCGTCTGCTATTCGTGAAAATTTTTATGTTGACGATTTGTTAACTGGTGCAGAAAGCATAGACAATTTACAAAAATTAAAAATTGAAATTATAGAAGTTCTTCGTTCTCATGGTCTTTCTCTTACTAAATGGCACTCGAATTCTACACAATTATCTGACGCATCTTATAAGGAAGTCATAATTAAAACAACTGAAGAAAACATTACCAAAGCTCTAGGTACGTCGTGGAAACCTTTAGCTGGCACCCTTTGTTATCGCTATGAGTTAGCAGATATGCAGCCAGTCACTAAGCGATCGGTCTTATCTATTATATCCAAAATATTTGATATCCTCGGTTTATTGAACCTCGTGATCATACGTGATGATATCGCCGATTAGATTGGGATGAAACACTATAAACCGATCTACATAACATTTGGTGGCAGATTAAAGCCGATTTAAACTTCATTAATAAAATCGAAGTTCCCCGCTATGTACAAACAACATCCAATTCTGATTGTGAATTTCGTGGTTTCGCTGATGCATCAACGCGCGCGTATCGGTGTTGCATTTATGTACGTTCTAAGATAAATCACACCTACAAAACCACATTACTTATTGCGAAATCTAAAGTATCGCTTATTAAAGCACAATCGCTTCCTCGTTTGGAGCTATGTGCAGCACTGTTACTGAGTAGGACTTGGCAAAAAACTAAGGAGAAGTTAGTGACATTCAGCATCAACATTTATTTTTGGACTAACTCAGAAATAGTGCTGAAGTGGCTCAACACTCATGCGGCCACCTTAAATTGCTTTGTTGCCAATCCAGTCTCTGAAATTCAAGAAATTTCATCTGGCATTAACTGGAAACATGTACCAAGTACGCATAATCCTGCAGACATTGTTTCACGTGGGTGCAGCGCTCAAATTCTTGTAGGGACAATTTGGTTCTCTGGCCCAGAGTTTCTAATGAAAAATTCGTCAGAATGACTTGTAAGCAAGAAGGGAGCTAACATTAAAATGCACGACGTACAACTGCGAAAAGGAATCAACCTCAAGTGTAGCAAAAGCGGAAATGAGAGAAATGTTATCAACGTCATTATCAACCGCTGTTCATCGTACCACCGATTACTTCGCACAGTTACATACATTTTTCGTGTTTTCAACAAAGTTGCTCTCAACAAGCAACTCACGCCAGCAGTGATACTTCATCTACCGGTAGAGGAGCTTGATCAGACTTGGTGGAGAATCATCATCGCTATTCAACAGATGGAATTCGCGGTTGAAATTGAAATACTTCAAAGACAATAACAAGTTAAATCGTTTATACAGAAGCTGACTCCTTTTCTACATCAAATGAATCTTAACGGAGTGGCAGTTTCAGTGCTCAGAGTCGGTGGCCGTTTGTCAAAAGCACCCATTCCTTTTGATGCAAAATTTCCGCACTTCTTTCGAAAGATCATAGATTTACATCATTGTACATGGAGTATCTTCACCGAAAGCATTTACATGCTGGCCCAAAGGTTTTAATAAGTCTGTTGCGTCAGCGAGTATGGGTTATAAATGCCCGCGAAATCGTAAGAAAAATGTTTCGAAATTGCGTGCCTTGTTTCCATTACAAACCTAAACTAATGAATCAAATCATGGGGATCTCCATGCTAATCGCAAATGCAACGCCCATTTCTAGTTAGCGGTGTCGACTTTTGTCGCCCTTTCAGTACGACCCATCGTCTTCGTGGAAGAGCTCCATACAAAACATGCATAGCGATATTCGTATGCTTTGCATCTAAAGCCATACGTACAGAATTAGTATCCGATTTGTCTACTAATAATTTTATACTTTGTCTAAAATGTTTTGTAGGAAGACGCATTTACTTCGACAACGCCACAAATTTCGTCGGTGCTCAAGCCAAATTGAAGGATCTTTATCAACAGTTCTTCAATAAAGCGGTAACTGATGACATCACTAATTATAGCACTAACACTGGTTTCGAGTTTCGTTTTATTCCGCCTCGGGCTCCGCATTTTGGAGGTTTATGGGAGGCGGCAGTAAAATCGATGAAATCCATTTTGATAAAAAAACATGTCAAATGCACACCTGACATATGAAGAACTGCAGACCGTTGTGGTTGAAGTTGAAGCTATCTTAAACTCTCGCCCGCTGACACCTCTTTCAAATGATCCTAATGATGGCGAAGCGTTAACCCCAGCTCATCTATTGATCGGAACGTCACTGTCGATGCCAGACAAAGCCATTAATATCAACATTGTATCTTTGTTAACGCAATCGCAACGGGTGAAGTATTTGAAGCAAAGTTTCTGGGACCTATGGGCACACGACTTCATTCTTATCCTACAACAACGCTCCAAGTGGTTGAAGCCGCAGGCCAACATCGAAATTGGTCAAATGGTCATCATCCATGAAACCGACTTGCCTTCACAATAGTGGTCACTTGGCAGAATTATCGATATCGCTCCTGGTTCAGATGGCAAAGTGGGGGTTGTAGACATCAAAACTACAAAAGGGATTATACGGAGAGCAGTCCATAAAGTTGCACCATTACCTATCTCCGATTGAAATGCAAGCATTTCAATGGGGGGAGCATGTTTGATCAGAAGTATGACACTGTGCAAAATCGGATGACCGTGACCATGAATTAGGCTATTCACCTCTGTGAGAGCACAGATTATGCATATGCACACAAATTCTTACATTCATATAGGTACATATGTTATGATTTTCTATGATTTGTACATATTTGCATTTTTTATGTTCTCACTTTTTGCTTTTAAATTTGTAAGTAGGTACATATATACATATACATGTACATATATATAATACATATTTTCATACCTACGCCCGCATAAGAATATACGCATATGCTTACATATGTACGTAGGAAATGAGAAAATAAGCACAAGACGGGATAAAAACCCGTGCTAGCATACGATTAAGCACATTATTAATAGAGCATTAGGAGTGTTAAGAGTAAAAATGAAATTAAATGTAAAATTATATTAAATAAAACCATATACATATATATATTATATATAAATGATCAGGATGAAGAGACGAGTTGAAATCCGAGTGACTGTCTATCCGTCCGTATGTCCGTCCGTCTGTGCAAGCTGTAACTCGAGTAAAAATTGAGATATCTTTAGGAAACTTGGTACACATGTTTCCTACTATCGTAATACGGTTGGTATTGCAGTTGAACGTAATCGGACCACTGCCACGCACTCAAATGCCATTAATCAAAAACAAATAAATTGCCATAACTTAGCTCCACAACAAGATACAAGACTCTTCTTTGATATACAGGATCAAATTAGAGAGGGGCATCTGCTTTTTTTTAAATGGGCTTGTTCCCGCAATAAGTTTAATGCACATATCTCCTATTGTTTTTGGCATCTCTATCGACGGTGTGAAAATGGATGAAATCGGGTGACAACACCGCCCACTTCCCATATAACGGTACTGTTAAAAACTACTAAAAGCGCTATAAATCAAGCGCTAAACAAGCCAGAGACATTAAGTCTTATCTCTGGGAAGGTATAAGATGATTTTATAGGAACCACGTTCAAAATTAGATAGTGGTCGTGGCACCGCCCACTTTTAGGTGAAAACCCATATCTTGGGATCTGCTTAACCCATTTCAACCAAATTCGGTGCATAACATTCTTTTCATGTTTCTATGTCATAGTGCGAAAATGGGCGAAATCGAATTACAACCACGCCTATTTGGCATGTAACATCATTTTAAATTCCATCTGATTTTTTCACTTTCCAGTATTCAAATCAAGCAACAATGATTGTATCGGTGTAAAACTTTGCGTGAATAATGCGTTTAAAGTATGACACCTTGTGACCAAAAATTCTCTTAACTGTTCAAGCCCCTGGGTACTGAATATGTGGACCCCAGTGCCTATAGTTGATATTTTACCGAAAATATCGGTCAACATAGAACAAGGCGGCAAGATCCACAAAGAAATCTAAAACGAGTATACTATTTGACTTTGCGAGAGTATAGAGAGTAGTAACTTAGGCCTTCCTTAATTCTTGAACATAGTTTAAATTTTTATAAATTTACCTGAGTATCTAATGTTGGGCGGTAGAGCTTTCTTACCTGTTTCGTACTGTATTAGTAATGGGAATCAAACAATGAATGTGAAGTATTTACATTAGTTGCCATTTGATGTTTTATTGTATTTCAGAGAAGCGAACCGATCGCCTTACCATGGCTCGTTGATACAACATTTAGTGCCTCTGATTGTTTCAAAAAATGTAAACCAAGATGTGAAAAAGAAAAATATTATGCAATCTTTTAATAACATTTATTGACTGAATGTTGTTTTAAATAAAGAGTGATTCAGAACAAATTTTCTTTCTATGTTAAACATTGTCTTATATGCAACATGTTATTAGCGCAAATGAAAAGAAGATAAGGTAAGGTAAAAAAAGATTAATCTCAAAATGAAATTGGCTTTATTTTTTTAAATATACTTTATATTTTTATGTTTTTTCACTAATTTATGTAGTTTTTCGTTATATATAATATATCATATTTCCAATTATTATTAATTATATTAATTTTAAAGTTAAACATATAAGATTTCACCTCATATTCCTGACTAGTCTATTGCTGTGTGTTTAGTTTATGCTTGGCCGATATTTTTTTTTAAAAAATAAGGATGGAAGTACATGCTACCAAACGGTTGGTATGACTAACGAGATAATACATTGAATGCTTAGTTAATAACGTTGCCCTTAATAAATTTTTTTAAAGGTAAATAATAATTATCTATAAAAGCAGTAATTTCAGGCGCATGTCGAATGCTGTCAAATAGTTCTGTATTGGATTCAAAAATCAAAAACGCAGTTATGGTCATTATTATTATAAACAAAGCTATTGAAGGGAAAAATAGGCGGCACATGTGGAGACTCCGAAGATCTTTAGTATTTTTGCTGTTATTAAATTCTTTATATAAACTTGTCGCGCCGTCCATATTTGTATTGTGAGTTGATTTGGATAAAGAGTTAAAATTATATTTTATAATATTTGATTTTTCTTTATTTAAAGAGGGTGGAATATAGTTTGAATAGGATTTATGAGCTTCATTACTATCAAAAAAGTGTCTCTTATCATGACATTCTATATTCGATTGTTGTGGCTTTACATATCCACTTTGGATCGCTAACAAATCCGAAAAATCCATTAAGTACTGGTTCCGATTATAAATATCCGTATCTAAAATAGATACCCCTGATCGAGGCAAGCTGTTGTACCCTGAAATATTAAAAAAAAATGTCATTATTAGTGCAGGCTTGTATTTTATCTATCTATATCAAAAGTTTATTTGTTTTTTGCAAACGCCCCCTGAAGTTCCAGTTTCTGCCCTAAAAAAGGATCCAATGTAAACAAGCTATTTATTTTCAATTTAAACCGGACCTAAATCATATTCCTTGTCCGACGTATATAACATGGATTTTTTGATATTTTGCATTAAACAACCTTGAAAATTTTACATTCTAGTACGAAATTTTTCGTTTTACAAAAATGATTTTTTTCATAAAACTACTTTTTTGAAAAATATACGCACTGAAATGCACTGAGGCTCAGTAATTCAGTAATTGAGCATTAAACCAGTACCATGTCGTATAAGCAATTTAGTGCAATATATCAAAAAATCCTATGTTAAATATATGGAAAAAGTTCAATGTTTTAGTAACGGTTTAAAAAATAGGTTGTTTACGTTGCTTTCTTTCTTTGAGGGGCAAAACTGAATCTTCAGGGGCTTTTACAAAAAAGCAACTTGGAAAATAACGGACACAATAATCCATACTAATATTATATAATACGTATAAGTGATTGTAAGTTCGTTTGATCCGCCCTTCTTAATCGATCATTTAGAAGTGTGTTCACATATTCATGGTATTAGTAGAAAGCAGACATACAAAATTATTAAGTATTTCTAAACGCTTACACTCATTAAAAGTAATTAACAGCCTTTTCCGCCGATCCCCACTATTTTCACTTGTTAATTACTAATTTTTAGAAACCTTTCAGTTATTTTTTATGAATATATTAAAATTTATATACGTACTACCTTTGCCCGTGGCTTCGCTCGCATTGAATCCCTAAAATAAATATCAACGATCAATAACAAATAACTAAATACATAGTATGTATACGAATTCGCAATTTTATTTGATTTACCCTGCCTGCCAAAATTGGTTAAAATACCAGTGAAACACTAGGTTTCCAAATCTTCAAAACTGGTGAACGCGTCATAGGCAGCAGGACAATCCTCACCACTTTCTCCTTACACGTACCTATACGTGTGATCATGCATTCCCTTGAACTCATTCATTTTCGAATTCCTAATTTAAAATATTTTTAAAATTTTAAACAAAATTTTTATATTGGAAATTATTTATTTATTTTACATACTTTTACTATTGATTATAAATAGCACAAAACAAAGTATAAACTGAAGTCGCTTAAAATATAGGAAGGAAGTTGTCGTAGTTAATTTTCATATCACAGCGGATGTTCTCCTTTTGTTGAAGTTTCACCAATCACATCCATCCATTAATAAAACACCTAATACTAGGCATCTATGTATATTTTAACGCTAGAAAAAGTAAAAAAAAAACCTGGCATAAAGTAATAAAAATGTACAAAATTAAACAAAACCGTATCAACTTACCTTTTCCCTCCAAAAAGGTAAATAATTTTCTTTTGATATATTGGCACTTATGACAAATATGTCTTTTCATTCACACTAATTCAATAAGATCAAAAAATAAGACAACAAGTTCTGTTTGTTTGGAAAATTCAATATTGGTTGAAAAAATTTCGTTATTTCTTGAATAAAAAGTGTGTAATTATGTTGAAATTTCTGGGGAAAGTGGTTAGCCGCGGCAAGGTATAGAAATATATATATATAAGACTCTTTCAATATATTTTTTGTTTTCAAATTATTCGATAAACAATTATTTTAGCCAAGTCAATTTACACATTCATGGTTACAATAATTCATCAGAAGCTGAAACTCGGCAAAATTGTTCAAAACATAATTATAAAAGAAATTTCAAAAATCCTCAACGTTCCGGTGTGTGCTAAAAGATTGGCACGAGGTCAAAGATTAGATTTTCAGCAAAACCGTGAGTTTTTTCGCAAAGTTACCAATACCAAATTAGACAACATGGTAGATCACAAAATTGTCTACAAAAATTTATAATGCTTTAAAAAGTTGGATAGTTTATAATACCCATATTTCGCACACGTTTCCATGCCACCTATTAGGTAATATACTTTTCGCGTTTTTTTTTTGTAACGTGGTTTCCCCAGTAGGCCTATTCCACTGGTCTGCTGTGATTCTATTTATTTAAAGCTATTGAAAATATTATCATTCACAAGACTTGGTAAAATGAAAGGAATTTAAAAAAAATAGCTAAATATATTCTTCGGATTCATAGTTTTCAAATATATCTGCTTCTTCTCCTTCTTCTCGTTCTTCTTCCCGTTGTTCCTCTTTTTCTATTCCACTTTGGGTGCAATTTATATCTACACAACCCGATATCGTACTCGATACACACAACCGTTAGGTGAACAAAACTATTATACTCTGTAGCAACAAGTTGCAAGAGTATAAAAATGTTGCGAAAAAGAATACAACATTCATTGAATCGTGATACAATCAAATTTTTGGAGCGTTAATTAAAGTATTCGAACACAGCACATACTGATAAGAAAAAAGTCGACGGAATTATACTTTACTTTTATTAACAATTACTATTGGAACATACTTTTCAAATAATTTCGTAATAATGTTATTAAAATGAGAGACACTCAATTCAATATCACCATTATAATTAGGCCATGTTATTGTAGAAAGTTCTGTATTTAACCTTTTAAAATTAGCTTTTGCAAAGTTAAACCGAGTACAGAAGCACGAAATTTGATGATTATTATCTCTTACATTGCCTATGATTTCGAAAAATATTTCCAAAGCAGGATGATACGAGTCCTCTGGT